TAAAATTATAGCCGACAGAAAATTAGCTTTATAACGCGTTAAAGATCTGAATAGGACACGAAATCTTTTATGGAAGTCGCCATTTATTGTACTAAAAAGTAAACAAATCATGTGACGTCACTATTCCCTCAAAATAAAGCCAATGTTTTAAACTTTTAAAATTAATGTGGTTAATCTACGAATGAATAAATCAATAAATTAAATAACGTCTTTAAATAAATTTGTGATTAACAGTCTGTATGAAAACAAAAAATGCTCTCTATCTGCATACTATTTCACAGCTCTACACATAGAGCAGATTCTCTCCAGTAGCCAATCAGACAAACAAATAAATATTCAAACATGTAAACAAAGTTGAGTTTTAGTTGTATTTAGATTGAAAGATAACTGTACTAGTTTTCAAACATAACTCATATGAAAATAAATTATGTTACATATTTTCAATCGAACCTCTTAGTCATTATGTTTTATTTAATATTTTTGTCAAAAAATAGCTTATGCTTTACTATAAAAAGACAATTTAAGTAAAAACTAACATAAATAATTCACAACAATTTAAAGCTTTGAAACACAATTCTGATACAAAGTATGTAGACTATCTAATAAAAATGTACAGTTTTATTATTTTAAGAAATAAAACTAATCAATAATATTAACTCGCATACATACTTGTAGAGTAATTTTAAACAAAAAGATAAATGAAGTTAAATATCTTACTCGGAGGAATATGAACAGTTACCTTTTCAGAAGTAATTGTAGAATGATGGTATTTAATGGGAGTTGTTTAAAAATATGATGGGTTAGTTACACATGAAGGACTAAGTAGACACTTGTAAAAGGGGATGAATGGTTGTGAATGTTGTAGATACTTTGTTCGTCCCTGTTTAATCATCGTGCTGTGAGTTGTGACAGTCTGGTTTGTCCCTGTTTTCTGTAAGGGTATGTAAAGCGTGTTCAAACGTGTGAACACGCCCAGATCAGACCCAAGGTACTGTTAGTTAGCAACTGTATCTTCGTTTGTGTACTAGCGTATGTATTTATATTTAGAATAGTCTGTGTTGAGTAGATAGTGTTTCATTTAGTCTTTATTGTAACCCTATTGTGGTTGTGCCGTCTGATATGTTGCTTGATGCACTTGATCACCCGCAAAGGCGTGTTCATGCTCACAACAGTGCATTAAGGAAAACGCCTTGGAGAATTTGAGGGACATTGAAGAAAGCTACTGACAATAGCCGGACTGTCTTATTAGCTGCAAAGAAATTTGACAGAGTTTGGCGAAAATTGAAAATAACTTACACTGGAGTCTCCATGTGTCTTGGGTGGGGAAGTGAAACAATGAAAATTAGATAGATAAAAATCAACACTAACTTCTATTTAAAACGAACGTAGGCATCATAGTGCTCACGGGATAGCCCGTGGCGGCCAATCAAACCCCGCCGGGGCGCCGGCAACCGCGCCTTATTCTATTTAGTGACAGACTATTTTACCTCATCTTATCCATAGCATATAGCATTGTTTAAAACGAACGAATGCGGCATGGCGCTCAAGAGAAAGATCCGGGCGCATATTGCACCCTGCCGAGTCACGCCCCCGCAAAAAAATTTTTTCTCAGAAATCTCCCCTGTAGTATTCTCATAATCTTTCCCAAACATTCAACGCGATTTGGTGAAATGTGAAACAATGCATAAATGACAAACCCAGATACCCATAAGCCCAAAACCGTGCGGCGTCAATTCGGCCAATGACGAAACGGCCCCGTCAAAACGACCCCGTCAAAACGACCCCGTCAAATCGGCCCCGTCAAAAGGGCCAGCGACATATGGACCCCGTCATATAGGCTCACGACAAATAGGCTCCCGTCATTTAGGCTACCGACAAATAGGCTCCCGTTATATAGGCTCCCGACAAAAGGGCTCCAGTCAATAAGGCTCCTGACAAATAGGCTCCCGTTATTTTGGCTCCCGACATATAGTCTCCCGTCATTTATTTTTTTCCACAAAACGGCCCCCGTCATTACGACTACCGACAAATTGGCTCCCGCCATTTAGTTTCTCCACAAAACGGCCCCCGTCATTACGACTTCCGACAAATAGGCTAGCGTCATTTTGGCTCCCGACAAAAAGGCTCCTGTCAATTTGGCTCCAGACAAAAGGACCACTGACACAGTGGCGTAGCTACCGTAAAGCTAGCATGGGGGCCCAAGGCACATAGGGACCCTTTTCCCTCATAAAAAATTAAAACTTTTACAATGGAATTTTAATATTTGTTACATATAAATAATTTTAAAAAAGAAAAAGGTTAAAAGTTCCAAAAAGCCCCCCCCCCCACTTGGGGGGGGGGGGGGGGGGGTTCGGCAGTGGGATTCAGTGTTTGTGGGTCAAACAGAGCCCAATCGTTATAATAACACTACAGGCTATATCACTTTGTCGTGCAAGACATTGAGAGAATCAGCCTATAAATAAACTTTTTAGCAGTAGTAGGCAAGCATAATAATATAGTATAAATACAAAATCAGGACATATAAAATACAAAATGTTGCCTTCAGAATATTTATATATTAAAAAATATCCATCGTAAGTAGAAGTTGATCTCTTCGTTTAACTCCTCTGTAGCCTAACGCAGAGGCGTAGCGAAGGCGAGGCGGGGGGTGCGGACCGCAACGGGTGACACCATTTAGGGGGGTGACACCAAAGGCAAAAAATTGTAAAATTTATAGAATGAAATGCCATTTTCCAGATCCATTAGTTAAAGTTAAATAGTCTTCTAAGTACAAATCGAAAATTATATCAAGGTGGGGGGGGGGGGGGGGGGGACACCACGATGTAAACGTAAACTATAAAGAAAACAATGCTACATCCAACTGATTATAAACAGACTGTAGATAAACATCGTTACTATTAAGTCAGCAGTGATTAAAGCTTAAACACGTACGTGTACCAGTATGTGGCATATATATAAATTTTAGGCCTATGTAGGCCGACACACACACACACACACACACACACACACACACACACACACACACACACACACAGACACACAGACACACAGACACACACACACACACACACACACACACATATATATATATATATATATATATATATATATATATATATATATATTTATATATATATATATATATATATATATATATATATATATATATATATATATATATATATATATATATATATATATATATATATATATATATATGCTTTGTTTCCTGGGAGGGGGGTGACAATACGAAGTGCCGCACCGGGTGAGACCCGACCTAGCGACGCCACTGGCCTAACGGCTGACGAAGGGGCCCACTGATAATTTTTGCATAGGGGCCCAAAAATCCTAGCTACGCCACTGCACTGATAATACCATTTCTGTAGAGACTAAGTCTCCCGGCAAAGCGGTCTCATTGAATATGACATCTGCCAGTGGGACCCCTTCATCAATATTCTTTAGAGTTAGCTTATCCAACACTCTTATGTAATACAACGTATGCATCTCTTGTTCGGCAGGCCTTATTTTTATATTAGTTTATCTATTATAAAATATAGTATGTTTTAATTTAAGGGTCATCTATCTATGACATCCATAATTGAGTCGGTTATAGGCTGTTCCAACTCATTGTGTGGGGAGAAGGGTCCACGCTGTACCTTCCTAACTGCAATATGCTTGTACAGGGGCGTAGCGAGGGGGGGGGCGGGGGGTGCGGACCGCACCGTGTGACACCATTTAGGGGGGTGACACAAAGGCAAAAAATAGCAAAATATATAGAGAAAAAGTTGAGGGGGTGGGGGTGCAAATCGAAAGTTTGGGGGGGGGGGGGGGTGCAAATCGAAAACTTGAAAGTTTGTCCCCGGGAAGGGTCGCAACGCCTCTGGGGGGGTGACACCATGAAGTGCCGCACCGGGTGACACCCGACCTCGCTACGCCACTGTGCTTGTAGGTTATCAAAACAAAATGCTGTTATCATGTTAACATCATATATATCATACATTTACACTTCTGTGCTCGCTTTTAAGCAACAGATCTTTTCTGTTGTAAATTAAACATTATCAAAACTTTAGAATTGGTAGAATGTAGCTGTTAAGGGCTCGATTTGTTTGTGAATTAATGTTGGTTCATGAAAAAATAATTTCATTCGGGCATTAAAAAGAGGTTATGGTGGTATTGGAGGTAGGACACAATGGTTACTTTTATGCCAATAGTGGTCATACCATTCATTTTTCTGGAGCCAATATGTCGGGAGTCATTTTGTCAAAAGCCTATATGTCGGGAGCCCAATTGCCGGAAGCCAATATGTCGGGAGCCCATTTGTCGGTAGCCAAAATGTCGTGAGCCCATTTGCCGGGAGCCCATTTGTCTTTAGCCCTTATGTCGGGAGCCAAAATGTCGGGAGCCGCTTTGTCGGGAGCCAACATGTCCTGAGCCTATTTGTCAGGGGTTAATATGCCGGGAGTCCATTTGTCGGGAGCCTAAATATCGGGAGCCCATTTGTCGGGAGCCTATATGTCGCAAGTCAATATGACGGGAGCCCATTTGACGGGAACCAATAAGTCGGGGCCCTTTTGACGGGGCTATTTTGACGGGGTCGGTTTGTCGGGAGTCGATTTGACGGGGTCGTATTAACGGGGCCGTACTCCGTTAGTTGCTGTAAACTGTTCGTGTTGTGAGCTATCTATCGTCATGGCGTCTAGTTTGTACTTGATATTGTGAGTGTAACTAAAAATAGTTGTTAAAGGCTTGTAATGTTTTGTTTTCATCAACTAGTGGTAACCGACTGTGCAGAAAATGAACCTGGGATTTATCCAGGCGACCCCCTTCTTCACTTCGAGTTAATATATATACATAGATAAAATATTTGCTGTACGCAAAGAACACTAAAATTTGACACAACATGTAGTAGTGAAAAGATTATTGTCACCTAATCAATAACCAATTCTTGTACAAAAACTGGAATGTTGTATTGTCAGCTATTATTGTAAAGTTATTCAAATTCAAGTATCTTTTACTGCATGTCTATTCTTAAATTCCTCCCACCGCTTGTAGATAACAGGAAGTGTGTAGAGAACAGGATTAATGGCCGAATTTAGTGGCAGCACAAATACTACCAGCCAGCTATAAAGTTCATGGCTTAGATCGTGACCGTTGGTGGCCAATAATCCAAACACGAACAGAGGAAACCAGCAGAGAAAATTAGACACGACGACCAGAGAGAGATTTTTGGCGACCGTGATCTCTCGTCTGCGCTTAGCGGCACTCTGGATGTTCACAAGATTATTGGTTTTCTCTCCAGAAATGTTCTGAAATATGGCCATCTGCCCAATGGCTATTAGAATAAATAAAATACCAGGAAGAACTAAGAAAGCACAAAAAGAATACCTTAATCCTTTTTCTCGATGGTTTTTCATTGGTAAACCAAGACACATTCCATTAGAAGAATAGATGCCCCAGTCTTGGTAGACAACAGGCACTAGAGACAGGACCAAACCTACTGTCCAGGATAAAATAAGTAAAAAAAATTTCAGGTCACGTGTTATTCTGTATGTCCCGAATGGGAACCTTACGGCCAAATACCTTTCTATTGTGATGAGAAGCACAAACATTGCTGACGTTTCACTCGACCATGTTGCTAGGAAACCAGCAACTGAGCAAAGTGTACTGTGTCGCCATTCTGACTCAAACATGACGTAATCGTTTTGGTAATAAAGGTCACTCCCAGCTATGATAAGCAGATACATACCCATAATAAAGTCGGATAGTCCAAGGTTTGAAACAAACAGTCGATAACTTTTTGTTATGACAGCACTTTCGAACACGAAACGAAACACCAGAACCGTTACATTTCCGACAACTGACAACACTGCGACAACCCACAACAATGTCCGCTTTACCGGGTCATCTAGTGGTTTTTCGCACGAGGAAATTCCGCTTATGGTTGCTATACAAAACGGGATCCCTGTGCCACTAATCCTTGGGCAACACATTTTAAAATGGTCACAGTAAAATACGGAACTTACCTGAAGTTTAGCCAAGCTATCTGCTGTATCTAGGTCTATGTTTAAGTCTGTTGATCTTACATCTAGTGATACGAGTGTCGTGGACTTTATATTGTTAGGAAAATAAAATACATGAACCCTAGTGTGACTGAGATTTAAATGCTCCAGAGCCTTCATTGAAAAGGTAAATGATGTAATGTTAGTAAAAGATAGATCTAGTGTTTTTAAGTATTGGTGATCAAATTCTATTAAATTTAACTCTTTGTTATGAGACAGATTTAAAAATTGTAAATATTCATTATCATAGAATAATTTTAGATGAATAATTTCAATGATATTGTTGTGACTAAAATCAATATATTCAATACCTATTACTCGATCGTTGTCATTAAAAATATTACTGAGAACCACTAAATTACAATGTGATGCGTACAGTTCACGAACAGGAAGATTTATCCCTCGTGAAAAAACGCGTGACAAATTGACGCCAGAAACGTTTAAAATCTCTGTTATTGTATTAAAATCATTTAAACTCTGTAAGTGAATCATAGCTGTTGGTATTGCTGGCCTTGCGAAATTCCAGCCACATTGAAATCCCGTTGGACAAGTCATGTGACAATCTATTTCATCGTCCCAGTAAGGACAATGTGTCTTGTTGTCACATACGTGAACAGGTAGGATGACTATTTTTTGAAGTTCAAAAAAACTCTTAAAGCATTGAACAAGATTTGTGCCTTGTATAATTATACCTTCATCTTCTCCATATGGACAATCTTGAACACCGTTATTTATCATATACAATGGAATACAGTAAGAAAAAGGACATTTATATAAACCCTCGGAGCATTTAAATTTCTCGCAATCATTTAGATGTGACAAGTCAGGACAGCCTGTTTCTTTTTTCGCACTACTTTTCAGATAAACACAACGTGGCGCTAATTTTCTCCCTCTTTCAAATTCGCTGCAGCTGGTAACTTTCTTGTTAGTAGTATCACAGAACACGATATCATATTGTAACAGTTCCCTACAGTTCTCAAAACATTTATATTTATGGAGTGCTTGGGCTATAGGCGACGTTTTCGGATCAGACCTAGGACTTGATTTGGTAAACCATTGACTTGGGAGGCAAGTCATGGGGCGGCACATTGTTTCTAAACATTCGTAGGCATACGTTTCTTGGTCATTTTCGTCGTAATCTTCAACGTAATCTTTGCGGACGTCCGGGTCAAAGTCTATTTGTGATTCCTCAGATTGTTTATAGAGAAATGTTTTGTTCATGGGACACTGAAGTAAATGATCTAATTCGACAGATCTCGCAAAATATTGTTTGCATTTGTTTTTTATCTCGCAGTCGTTTTGATTTTTACAAAACGCGTTTACTATTTTAGAGTTATTTAAATGGCATTCATAATTAGTCATTAACATTTTTTTTTTTTCAACTTTGTCAAAATGCACTATCGATTTCAGTAAATTATCGGTATCTAAAGTAAACATTGGATGACAAAATACTTTGAAAAAGCTGTCATCCTGTGGATGGTGTACTGAGAATGTTGTGTTAGAGGGCAAGGAACGGAACACTTCATACTCACAAATCAACACAGATGGCGGATTTGATGTTTCATCTATCCAACCAACTGGTGGATCTGCCGTAAATATCACGTTACCAGAATCAAACCCGAAATGTGACCATTGTTCTATTTTCCACTTTAAGTAACCAGTACTGCAGCTACTTTTACCCTTAATTAATTCCCATGGAAATTTAAATGTTAAAGGTCGTCCATTGTCCCACAAACCCATAACGATATTTGAATCTTTATTTTGAGTAAAACCGACATGAACATAATTAACAGCGGATCCACTTAAATTAAAATTGATATTAGCCGAAAGCTGTTGCTCTAAAAACAGCAATTCTTCTTTTTTTTCCAAAGTTACTAAATCAGCTTTCATTTTTTTACAGCTTTCATTTTTTTACAATCAGATGAAGCTTGTCGATGACTTCTCTTGTAACTATTGTTGCCAATATAGAAACAGGACAGTAGAGATCTCGTCCCGGTTTTCATTAGTGGAATCCAGCCATGTTTACATTGCCCACATACAGTTTCATTAAACAATAAAATGTCTTCTCCTGAAACTGTTAAGACATTGTCGTCAGATCGAGTATTGAGATGCTGAGATACCGATGTGTCTATGATGTAATAGAAATAAAACGGGAAATAGCTCGTTTGTTCAAATTGTTGTAAAGATAATGGTTCATGGGATCTTTCAAATGTCTGTTGCTCAGATGATTGTGTTAGCATTATTGCAAGACGTGTTGCTTCCATACGAATCGATCTTTTAAATATTTTCTCTGCATCTAATTTTATGCCTGTATTGTAAGAAATGTTTTTGTCTAATACTGTATTATTCAACTGATCCAGTCCTTTAATCAACTCAGTCGTAGTGTTGTAGTCGTTAAAGTCCATCAGATGTTGAGAGTGAGTACTGTTCACGATGACCTGCAAATGAACGCGAAGTCTCAAAGGCTCGTTTGCCCCGTCTGGAAAAAAATGCCCGACGATATTTTTTAACCTCTGTATTTGTAGTGTGGAGTTTCCAAGTGGGTAGGTCACAAGTAACAGATCGATGTCACTACCTCGGCAGTTGTCCAATGGCGTGCTGTAATTTATTGTGTTCACGACGACTGGCAAATAACAATGTTAAACAATTAAATTCAATCTCTTAGTGACACCAGGGTGTAAATATGTTCTCAAAACTCAATCTCAACTCAACTCAACTTCACCCTAACCCACAACCCCAACTGCAACATCAACCCCAATCTAAACCTCAACCTAAACCTAAACCAAAACCTAAACCCAAACCTAAACCTAAACCTAAACCTAAACCTAAACCTAAACCTAAACCTAAACCTAAACCTAAACCTAAACCTAAACCTAAACCTAAACCTAAACCTAAACCTAAACCTAAACCTAAACCTAAACCTAAACCTAAACCTAAACCTAAACCTAAACCTAAACCTAAACCTAAACCTAAACCTAAACCTAAACCTAAACCTAAACCTAAACCTAAACCTAAACCTAAACCTAAACCTAACCTAAACCTAAACCTAAACCTAAACCTAAACCTAAACCTAAACCTAAACCTAACCTAAACCTAACCTAAACCTAAAACCTAACCTAAACCTAAACCTAAACCTAACCTAAACCTAAACCTAACCTAAACCTAAACCTAAACCTAAACCTTAAACCTAAACCTAAACCTAAACCTAAAACCTAAACCTAAACCTAAACCTAGACCTAGACCTAAACCTAAACCTAAACCTAAACCTAAACCTAAACCTAACCTAAACCTAAACCTAAACCTAAACCTACCAACCTAAACCCTAAACCTTAACCTTAACCTTAACCTAAACCTAACCTAACCACCTAACCTTAACCTTAAACCTATACCTTAACCTTAACCTTAACCTAACCTTAACCTTAACCTTAACCTTAACCTTAACCTTACCTTAACCTTAACCTTAACCTTAACCTTAACCTTAACCTTAACCTTAACCTTAACCTTAACCTTAACCTTAACCTTAACCTTAACCTTAACCTTAACCTTAACCTTAACCTTAACCTTAACCTTAACCTTAACCTTACTACCTTAACCTTAACCCTTAACCTTAACCTTAACCTTAACCTTAACCGTAAACCTCAACCTCAACCTCAACCTCCACCTCAACCTCAACCTCACACCTCACCCACTCAACCTTAACCTTACCTTAACCTCAACCTTAACCTGAACCTCAACCTCAACCTCAACCTCAACCTTAACCTTAACCTTAACCTTAACCTTAACCTTAACCTTAACCTTAACCTTAACCTTAACCTTAACCTTAACCTTAACCTTAACCTTAACCTTCACTTTAACTTTAACCTTAACCTCAACCTCAACCTTCACTTTCACCTTCACCATTACTTTTACCTTTATGTTTACCTTTACCTCCACCTTCACCTTCAACTTCACCTACATCTTCATTTTTCAACTTCAACTTCAACTTAACCTTCTTCTTAACCTTAACCTTCACCTTTACCTTAACTTTTATCTTTTTCTATTCCTTTTTTTTCCTTTTTTTTCTTCTTTTTCTGTACCTAAGACTTACTTGCTTAGACGTAATAGTTAGTTATGATAGTGAACTCACGCCATCCATTACATTAAAGAATAATAAACCGAGAGTGATCTCACCAAAACTTTCTCGAATATTCTTATACGAGCCGACCCGCTGCGTATCATACGCCGCTATTTAGTTGGCTTTTTTTGCTACTTTTCAGTAATTTATAATTTGTGAATTCGACAGTAACAATGTGCCACTGAAAATATTTGCTTAAAAACACTAACCCCCCCCCCCCCCCCATCACGTGAAAGCAGCCTCCTTTTAGTTACCTCCTCTAAGTTTTAAATAGTTTCAAACTAAATTATCTGCCCCTAATAGCCGTCACCAAACCCGTCTCTATGATTGTAAAATGTAAACAGCGTGACCACAGCTCACCAGACAATGTGGGGATGGTAGTGATAGTGATAGAGAGAAAGAGAGGGGACTGCAAGGAGGCGCTTGCAGCTTGTTTTCTAACGGCTCCCAGAAGAGAATTATATATATAGATAAAATAACAGGAGATGGGAACTCGGACCATAGAAATGATTTTTACCATTTTAAATACTTAAAGTTTTAAAAATAGAATAAAATCTCGTAGACAAAAGAATTGCACACCAAGTGAACGCCAAATAAAAAAGTGCAAAATAGTGGGCAATATTATTAGTACTTTAAAAATTTACATTAGTTTTTGAGAAATCTGAAGTAGCGTAAATTACTACTTCCGTTCAACGGAAATTACTCAAAATTTAACAGATGGTAGAGAATTAGATCTTTTACTTACATGTGAAATTTCATTTATCTATCTGAAATAGTACTCAAGTCATAGGCTTTTGAATAGTTCAAGGTAGGAAAA